AAAGCCTTTTTTTTTTTTTTTTGAGGCTATTAAACAAAATGGCTGTGGCAGACATACCTCATAGTTCTTAAATGAGGGGTCACTGGAGATAGAAAACAAGTTCAGTGTGAGGATTAAAAATATTTGATTGATCAACAAAAAATGGTGGTGTTTCAGTAACAAACGCATCTCAGCAACGGTGGAAAATGCCCAACTTTTGCTCGTCGGAGTTTCATTATTAGGAGTCGTGCGGAATAATAATAAAATGTTGATACACGATCTGCAACTGGATGTGGATTCACACAGTCATGTAACAGCGCTTATCTTTTCAAACACACCGTTCTGCAGAGTTTCATAGGAAATTGGTTGGCACAATCCATCTTAATCACAAACACGATCTAAAAACATTGTTTTAAGACACCGGTGTCAAACTCAAGGCCGGGGGACCAGATCTGGCCCGCCACTTCATTTTCTGTGGCCTGTGAAAGCAAATCAAAGATGTCAACTTTCATGATGCTTGCTAAAATCTCTATGTAATAAATAGTGATACTGTAAGCATGTTCTTGTCACCAAATCCCTCATTACAGTAACTTAAACAATAGGTGAATAAAGGGTTATTCTTGACTTCTTTATATGGTTTTAGTCATAACGGCCCTCCAAGGGAAAAAAAATCAGGCCCGTGACGAAAATGAGTTTCACACCCCTGTTTTAAGACATAGGAAAAAGGTCATTGGATTACCAGGAGAAGCGACAGCCACAGGGAGCGAGATCCTTTGAACACTGTATGAGACTCAAGTTTCAGTCACAGCCTCAACGCAAGACATTTGAGTGTGAGAAGTACATTTGCCTTTACCCATTTGTCTGGAATTGTCCCGGAGAACCCTAAAGAGAGCATAGTGGAACGCTTATTGAACAATTCCAAAAGCAGTTGGGAAATTTAAAATTGGGGCACCCACGTACCCTCCTCTGTGAAAGAGGCTTTTTCAGCTCGGCCATCTCTTGTTTCAGCTCCATATTTCGGCTTTTTAAATCGGCATTCTCTCTTTTCAATTCAGCGATTTGCCTTATGACCAAAGAAGCAACGGTGACAAATATCCGTCTCAGCTACGGGAGCGATTTAGACCTCCTTTCCGTCACCTGTAACTCTGCTGAGTGACTTCTTTCAGACGCTTTTCCAGTTCAACTGACTTGTGCTTGAAGTATGCCGTGGCTCGCTGCATTTGTGTCCGCTGAAAATCTGCAATCTGAGAGGGTACGCACCTTGAGACCGCGTACGGGATATCAAGCCGCGGCTTTCTTAAGATCATCAATAAGGTGAAACACAATGACAGCGCTATTAAAAAAAGGACAGCAGTAAAAAAGGGGTGGAGGTGAACAAACCTGTGTAATGTGCTCTAGACGTGACTGGAAGAGCTTCATGGGATCCATGAAAAACACCCTTTCCTGTATTTTCATCTAAAACACAAAGTCTTTGTTTTTAAGGAAGACCACTATCACACCTTATAAACATCAAAAAGTTCTGATTTGTCTTTTAGTCAGGGTAAGATTTGAACAGCGTGTGTATATGTACAGTATACACTGTATATATATATATATATATATATATATATATATATATATATATATATATATATATACAAACAGAACAATGCCGCTTTTTGTTTATTCCCCAACTTAATATTTCCAGTCAACCATGTCATCTTCTGCTATAGGACAACTGAAGATGAGGACGACGCGTGGACCCCGAAAACGACTTTCCATCCAACATAATCACCATCTGCCTCACACAGTGCAACACGTTTATTGCACTGCACAAGTGCCACTTAGGCAGCCCACAATAAACAGTCACGTAAAACTGCAGTTTTACTGCATTAAGGGAGGGGGATCAGAATTGAGAAAACCAGTCAGGATCTAGTCTGATCACCATTTGCCGAACGCAGCGCAACACATCTCCTTTGCAATGTGTTGATTAGGGCCTGTGAAATGTCGGTCCACTCTTACAATGTCCTTCTGAAGATTCTGGATATTGTGAGGACGTCGATCCATCCATTTTCAACACCGCTTATCCTGTACGGGGTCATGGGTGGATGCTGGAGCCAATCCCGGCTGACTATGGGCGGAAGGCAGACTACACCCCAAACCGGTCGCCAGTCAGTCGCAGGGCACACAAGGAGACAACCATTCACACCCACATTCACACCGTCACTGAGTGGGAACCGGAACCGATCCCACGCTGCCTGCACACAAGTCAAGCGAGTAGTGCACCACTCCATCGTCAGCGACGCCCACGTCGATCCAAAGCATCCCAAACATCCTGAGTGGGTGACACTTCCGGTGAGTATTCTGGCCATGCAAGAATTGGGTTGTTTTTGTGGACATCCTTTTGACTGTCCATGATATGACTGGCTGTCTGATGCCTCGGAATCCCCAAATACAATAAAACTGCACCTTTTGCAGTGGGCTATAGACGTGTATACACACACTGAGTGACATCACCATCCATCGGTGCAGCTGCTAGAATAATTGACATCTATTTTCCAACGATGCGTGCTCCGTCACTGAAGAGATATGGTCGAGTCAGACTGTGTGGGGAGGTGCAAAGTCATTAAAAAAAAAAAAAAGTGACAGGGAGAGGATTAATACAAGCTGACTCCATATAGTATTAACCCCCCACTCCCTTCCCCAAAACCATTTGCCCTCCCCCTGCCCATTTTCAATTCAGCAGCCAGTAAGTCTGCTGGGACAGGCTCCAGCTTCCCCACGACTCTGATGGATGGTGACATGCATTTTGAAAGACAAAGACAGGTCAGACTGGCCAGAAACTAAAGACATGGCAATTCTTAACAGAAATACAACTCATCTAAATTGAACATGTACTGAACACAACACAGTAGCGTTCACATTTTTGCTAGTTAATCCATCAGTGTTACACTGTGGATCAACAAAGGTGATTTGAAGTTGCAAAGACATATAAGCATTTATCAAGCTATGATACTGCTGTATATTTAGTGTGACGTGTTAGCTTTTGGTGCATGCTAAATGTAAACATTGTAAGTCTTGAGTCGGAGTGGATTTGGAGTTTAATCAAGATCGAACCGTTAACTGCTGTATTTGTGTTATTTCTCTTTCTGCTTGTTATTTACCAGGCTAATTCCTGGCTCAATACAGACAAGGCCATGCCATTCAAGTTTTTGGGCATCAATGCCTGTATGCCGTGAAAAAAAATACATTAAGTCATTTTTTTGGATCTTCTGCAAAATCGTTTTGATGTCAACTCAACCTTCTATCTATAAGTAAATACGGATCGATTTGGCTCCTACTGTAATAGCGCAAACTAAATTGTGCATGATGCCTGAAAATCCAACTCCAGCAGGTGGAAGAATAATTTGGGTCACCACAACACAAGATCCAAAACGTAACAATCACCAACCTTATCTGTAATGGGCAGGTAACTGCAGCTGGTTCCGCATATGACACATTGTTCTGAGGGGAAAGGCACAATCCCAAGAGTGATTCAAACCATTTTGTCAATCACTTATTACAAGGAATTAAAATATCTAAACAGACAAGACTTGCCAGGTTTAATGCAGGCCTCACAGCAGATGTGTCCACAGCTGGACACTGCAAACTTGGATCCTGTTCTTAAGAAACACTTGTTACAATGGAACCACTCCATAACCTAGTTTAGCTGCAAAAACAAACAAAACTATTCAGACTCAGTAAAATGATAAACTTTACTTGTTTCTAATAAGGTATTTTTGTACTTCTATTTGTGTTATCGCATTATCTTAAAATATAAGGGAAAAAAAGTGTCCACCACACAAGCATGATTCTTAAACCTCCAGCATGCTATTAAACGCCTTCGTGAGTTGTAGCTTCTTCACATTTTCAAATCAGATTCACGCGTTCCAACAACAACAAAAAACACGTAACATGCTGTTAAATGGAAAACGGTTATTTTAGTAATCTTACCTGCCGCAACATGGACAACCGCGAGCAGCCGTTAGCCTGATAATAGTTGCTCATGAGGCAGTTAGTCGACTTATGTTGAAACGCTCACTGAATTTGGGGATTCGCCAAAATAACTCACACGCTTTAGAATTGTGAAAACTGAACTGAATGTGTCAAAATTGTTACAAATAACTCACGGTCACTCCACTACAACACAAGAAGGCAACATTAAATTTATTAACGTTTCAAGTGTCTTGCTCCCCCAAACCACTAGATGGAGCCATGACAAAAGCAATACGCTTCGATACAGATCCGTTACTACGAAACAAAGCACTCTTGGAGAGTTTGGACTGATGTAGAAAAGTGGTGAATGTGGTCAAGTTTACATTTTGCGAGTGTGAAATTCAACCAAGGCCTCTATGTTGCGAGGAGGGCCTCTTGTATACGCTCTGCAGCGAAGCCAACATGACTATTGAGCTCCATTTTCGCATTGGCCATCTGTGCTGCTAAACCAATTTTAACAATAGAACACGTTCGGTTGAATTGACGAACTAAAATGTGTTGCCTTGAAATTTTAAGTCAGCCCAACTCTGACACCGCTAGTAAATTAATCCAGATTGTAAACACCCAAAAGAAAAATTCCCAGGTTACATTAAGCCACAATATAAAGGGGAAAAAAAAACCCAAAGTTGTGTTCCAGGCGTTTATTGATATACAATTTGAAGGTAGCAAACGAGTTGAAGCATCTTGTGAAAACACTTTACACCAGCCGATTTATTCCATTAGGAATAATTTTTATTCAAGGAAATGCCACACCAAGTAGGAAGTGGCCATCTTAGGGACCAACTTCAGTGATTGTCAGGGGTCCAAGGACTGCATTCTGGACCACGCCACGTTTCCCTGCAAGCACAGTACTTTCAGACCAGCATGAGAACTCCGGCCGAGCGGTGGAATAAATAGAAATACCTGATACACTCCTTGACCACCTGGACTTGCAGTTTGTTTCACAGCAGTCACACAGATTGCTATGTACGGGGTTGTCCACCAACACCCAACTAAAATGGTGAAAGTTATTTGGGATTTGTCAAGTCTGAAAATTTCTCGCATAACTGAATTGAACTTGAAAAGTTTTGACTTACCCCTGCCCTTTAACAAAGTTGCATGCCTTCTTTGTCATGTCAATACCATCTGGATCCCAAGCTACAAGTTTACAGTGGATAAACACCTGTTGGAAAAGAGCACAGACACGCAAAGTCAACATCAGGTTAATTTTTTTTTTTTTTTTTTTAATTGCAGCTCTGCAATTACTAAGTTACCTCCTCTTCGACAGCAAATCGAAACGCTTGAAGAGAGAGTTTGACTTCTGATGACCTCTCCCTTGGTTCAAATCTGGAACGTGACATCTTACTATCCAAAAGGCACCTATTATTGAAGAAAAGAGATTTTTAAAAATATTGCCACAGGTTGACCCATTAATCCTGCTTTTTGACCGTACCCCTTATTGCCGATAATGTTGTAAAAATGGTCAGTCTGGGGCTCTGGTGTAGTCGTAGCTATACACTCCTCCATCAACAGAAGCAATGGCTGATGTGTATCCTCTTCCACATGAGCCATAATCGGGATGAATGAACCGAGAGCAAAGCGGGTTGATTCGGCGAGAGCGGTGAAGTCATCTTAAATAGAAATTGAAGTAATTAGGTCGACCACACAAAACGCTGTCATTTTAGCCGTGAACTCACCATTCATGAGTGCCATATGGAACACTAGACCCGACTGGCCATAGGTTGTGAACGTCGGGTCGTACCTGATCGGGGCCCACCCTTTCGGCCTGCAAAGGGTTTAGTGCAACACATTAAACGCCGACTTCAAATAGTTACATGTGAAGTGATCGCTTTTAGAGGTTGACAAGAGCAGCAGCACTTCATAGCAACCAACCTGTCAAATACGCAAATAACAGGGTGGACGAAGGTTTGCACTTGAGAGCCAGGAGACAAATAAACCAGGTCATTGCTGTGCACGATCTTGTCCCCGGTCACCTAAGCGAAAGTGGGAGTTGGTAAAGGCATCCAAACCACAAGGCGGTGGCATGGAGAGGTGCTCACCATTGTTCTGAAGTGACAGTCTATATACTCCACATTGAAAGTTGCCTCCCGAGCAGACGAGCTGGTGGGAACGCAGGTTCCCAAACGGAAACGTGACATATCAGCTTGGTGTCTGCGTTCCGTCCACACCAGTGACACAAAATCAGGTTTACAGTCCAGCTTGACATCTGGAAGAAAGACACAGCGTAGCGCAAACTAGAAGCACCACAACACCAAGTTGATTTACCAACAAATAAATAACTTTAAACTTTGCAAATCAACATTACCTGCATACACTGCAACATCAGAAGCTAAGATCAGAAGTAATGCACTATGCCAAATGAACGCCATCATGACTGAACATGCTCTTAGTGCGCTCATCCTGTTTTTATTCACTCGGACAGGAAGGTGACAATCGAGTCAAACTCTTTCACCTGGTGTGTGCGCCCACCTGCACAGGTGCACCTGATTACGGTGAGCTCTTTCCATGGTCCATGTTAGTGCAATGCAGCAAGGGGCCGTGCATTTTGGACCTGGGCTTTTCAACCCGAATTACTCGAGCTCTTAATACCAACACGATCACATCATAATTGTAGAAATTAGAGATATTTTTTAGATATTAGAGATGTTTTTTAGATATACTTTGCCATACGTTGTACATAGACTATTGAATAGACCCTTCTGAAAACCTGGACTCAACCCCACTCATCCATTTTTAATATGTTTACATTTATATTTTATATTTGTGTATATAGTTTTTGTCTTCTACTTTCTCCCTTTCATAAGCTGGGAATTTCTCCATTGTGAGACAAATAAAGGTTTTGTTATCTGATCTTATAACGTATTCAATTCATCCGTATTAATTATGACTTCAAACAAATAAAATGTTCATCCAAGAAAGAAAACTGAAGAAACAACCGTCTGGATTTGAATTTAAAATTTTCAAGGAGCAAACTTTCCGCTTAAAAACAAAAATAAACATGCTGTGTTTTGCGAAACTTTTGTCACAGAGTACCTTGCTTGTAGAATGTAGCAAGCTTCGCAAATGTTAAGTGTGTAAAACCGCGTGTGTCAATGCATTTGAAGTAAATTCACCACGAATCATTTGTCCCTGCACATCCAAATTATATCTGTATTTATGTGCGTATTTTTGTGGAACATCTCTCAAGTCATTCATTATAATGTAGCAAACAGCTAAGCTATTAGTTAGCCTAGCTTCTATTTATTCTGCTCCTCCCACCACTCGTATTTTCCAACAGTCTGGACACCCGGAGCCTCTTCGGAAAACTCAAATCGCTTAACCTTTATGTCACCTTTCCTGCACCTTTGTTGGATATCGTCATCAGGTCAAGGAGAAATGAAAAGGTGTTTCCTTTCCAACACAGAAAATCTCAGCGCTGTTTCAAATGAATTGGACTGCACTTTACATAACCGATGTCATCGCGCGATGGCGAGAAATGCCGAGGTCTGTAGTTTAACTGCACAATGCCAGCGGAGTATGAAAAAGATCACCGGTGAGGTTTTTCATTGATTTTGGTATAGTCCACTCTATGATGGAAATATTTGTGTGGAAACACCTTTTGCTTTTGACATATTAGTTGGCTTTGACCTGTGACAAAAAGTTTTGGCCGTTTTTTTTAATGAGCAATTTAACATTATTGTGAAAGTCAAGCGCCTACGTGTAATCTGTCATCTACTGCAGTTTCCGATTGCTTTAAATGTGGCTATAAATTGTGGGTAATATACTTTTGCAAAATCTGGTCAGGAGTAGTCGATGCTTATAGGTTGCATCCAGGTACCTTTCCTAAGCATTTGTCAAATCTACACGATCCTATCCTTCAAATACCTCTGGTTCATCTCACCCGGATACGAGTGAGCTTATTGCTACAGCCCGAGAGCCTTTGTCAGAAACAGGTTGCATGACTTTTGGTGTAGCTAAACCGGTGAAACGGGGCAAGTCCACTTTCTATGACCATTACAGACTGCTTTCCGAACACTGTCGCTTTAGGCGTGAGGCAATGAGCAACCTGGAAAGCGTTCCATCAGGAATAAGTTGGATAAGAAATGAAATTTCCAAGTCAAAGACAGGAATTAGAACAGGCTCCCTGCGGCACTGTGCTGCATTACAGGTCAATCTTCGCACGTTAGACTTCTGGGCGGAGACTCACTGAAGGACCACAGCGCAAAATAAAGATTTTGAGGCCCCACACAGGCCGGATGAAATTCAGTGAAAGAGTCACATTTGGTCAGAGAGCATTTTATTCTCTGTGCAACTGTACATCCACATGCATGCTTATTAGAAGCAAAGAGCTCCATCTGTTTTAGGCGGTCAGACTTGTGTCTGACATATCCACGATGACCAAAGGTCCCAACACTGAAAGTTGACTCAGGCCATGGGATTCTAAAGAGTGTTAAAAATAAATAAAAATTGTCAAGTGGAAGGTCAACTCAAATTAGTTTTTTTTGGTACCCCATTCAGTTCCTCTTCTGGGCCGGGCTCTGCAGGCGTTATCACAGCAGCTACACAGCTTGTTCTGGGATGGGTCGTCTAGTAATTCCCATCTAGGTACAAGACATCAAGAAAATCTGTACTGGTGCTTTAAAAATAAATAAAAATTAAAAGGCAACACTTGCCCGCCATTCTGCTTTGAATATTGACAAGCCTTCTTGCTTTCATCAAGGACTTCCGGATCCCACGCCACAAGTTTACAGTGGATATACACCTGAAGCCAAAGTCAGTTTCCAAATCAATCTCCATTAAGAGTGGTGGTGTTTTCCTCCAGTCTCACCTTTCCGACACCAAACATGAGCGACTGCAAGGAAAGGACAAGTGCAGATGAATGGTATCGAGGAAGGAACACCGAATTGCCCTCGACACTTTCTGAAAGACACCTGTAGAAGGGACGACGTTACAAATCCAACTTTTAGACGAGTAACTGTAAAGGCAATGCGAAACCGACCCTTTGTTGTCAATGATGGGGTAAAGCTGCTGCTGTTCTGGCTGCAGCTCTGCAGTTGGGGCGGCGACACATTCCTCCATGAACAGACGTAACGGTTGATGGGCTTTCTGCTCCACAGCCGCCCAGATAGGCATGAACGAGCCCAGCGGGATTACATTCGATTTTGCTATGCCTGACAGTTGTTCTGGAAGGAAGGATATTTTGGTCGCTGGTATATGGAGGTTTTATAAAATGGGTCTGTAGGGCAGAGAGGAATCACCATTTAGGAGCGCCAGATGGAAGACGAGGCCACCATGCCCTGTAGAAACACTGGCGGCCGGGTTGAGGAATGGAGGAATCCACCCTTCTGGCCTAAAAGATGTAGAGAACGCTTTAAAAGAGATCAGGAAAACGGTGGACATCCAAATATACTGCACCTTCTCTGGACACATTCAAAGAAATACTCATAAGCTGGCGGTTTGGACTTTGCCCCAGGCCTGTAGGTCAATACATTTTGATGGATTAGATGTTTTCCTTTCATCTGTGAAGGACAGGCTGGTCATCAACATGCTTCTGAGAATTCGGGTGATCTCCTTTTTCACCCGTTTACCTTTCTTTTAAATTTACAGTCTTTGAATTTGTAGTCAAAATGTAGTTCCCAATCTCCCAACGGCAAAGTAGTCACACTCGACCGTATGCAGTTTCCAAGGAAAAGACGGGTTGAGTATGGCGTCAGTTCCTGACTGATCCTCCATGTGATGTTTACAGAGTCTTTCCAACAGTTTATTGTGATAGCTGTAGAGAAAGGAATCCGATGTGAAAAGCTGAACACTGCGGTCACAAACAAAGCATCTGCGATCAGTACCTTCATCGCCAGCTGTTGCAAAAGCAGTCAAGAGGGTCACACCGAAGAAGAGATGGAGAAGCATGGCTAAAAGAGCCAGAGTACTTTGCAAGTGGAATTATATACACACTTCCTGTCCAATCACACCAATGACAAACACCTGTACGGGAGCAGGAAAAGCCTTTTAGACCGCCGACTGTGTACACGTATCCTAGCAAGTGGGAAAACGTTTGTACAGGTCATTTGTAGAACGCTTATGTGGGTGTAAATAAAAACGCACATGTAAAATAGTTCTATTATGACTGCAAAATGTAATTTAGAAATATATGAACTAATCATTTAATACGACATTGGAAATTCATGCATGTGTAAAACGTTTTAATTTACTCAGAAAATTTATTTATGATACACGAATACAAATGCATGCATAAATCACATTTATAAAAACATAGGATCGTGTTTAAGTAATAAAAAAAGGGGCAACATGAATACAACAAATTATCAGAGGAGTTTGAATACTTCAGTGTTTACATTGTTCACCAATAATATTGATCTGTATTTTTAATGTATTCATTTTTCTATAAATATTCGTTTTGGGTTGTATGTGGCCCGTCTAAGCATTTTTACTGTTTAAAAAAAGGCTTAATCCTATTAAATATGTTAAGTTGTGTACAGCACTTAAGAACGTAATTTTGCTGTATGTTCTAAATTATTATTATGATGAGGATTTTATGATTGCCTTTTTTTTTTAACCTGGACGTAATTAATGTGAAATTACCATTCGATAGGACCTAGTTTATTTTGAAACGAGTCGCAAACGGTTACAAAAGACGCTGAATCCTAACTCGGTAACGTGAAACGATGATGAAAAGCGACCCGAGGAGGAAGAGTTCATGGAACGTCACTTCCGGAACGTTTAGCGTGTTACACAGGAAGTAGTCCTGAATCATCCCGGCGACCTGTTTAGAAGTACTCGCACCACCAAATCATTACATGTTCACATAATTTAAAATTGTGTCATATACCTCGTTCATAATGCTGATCAAAGTGAAGGTAAGGCGTTTGTCATTTTCAATAAAACTGAAAGTTCGCTCTTTGGGGGAGGGGGATCCTTTCAAATAAGATGACCGTTTCATTTGGTAGCTATATTGTGTAGCTTCCACTTTGGCGGCTGTAGTTATAAAAAATACATTTGTTGTTTGACTTTTATTTGGGTGAAGCAACTGAATATTGCCACTTCAGGTATCGATGTGACGGAGCATTGTTTACGCACTACTTTGTAGAGTTTGAACCTGAAAAGTGAGAGACTTCCAGTTGAGTGGATGCGATGGCCCCCTCCCAGTTGTGCTGTCGTGCGGTTAAAATAAAAGATCTGTTCTACATGGCAATCACAGTAATAGATAACGAGATTTCTTGCACACAAACTAAAAAGATGCCAGTTTAGCTTGTGTTCCATCATCATATCAGACCTTACAGTGTGTTCATTCTATTTCAGACTCTGACTGGAAAAGAAATAGAAATTGACATTGAGCCCACAGACAAGGTAATGGCATTAAAAAACGTGTCATGAATTAAATTCAAGACACAGAAACATTTGTCAGATTGTTGCTTGGCTTTCTAGGTGGAGCGAATTAAAGAAAGGGTGGAAGAAAAGGAAGGCATACCCCCTCAGCAACAAAGACTCATCTACAGTGGAAAACAGATGTGAGCTCCTTTACTGTGTTCAATAGTTTTTCTTCAACTGTACTCATGTGAAGCACATTCTCATTTTCTCAGGAACGATGAGAAGACGGCAGCAGACTACAAAATCCAGGGAGGCTCGGTGCTCCATCTGGTGTTGGCGCTAAGGGGAGGGAAGGCGCACCACACACCTGACGTACAACTCGCCTCGTCATGAACGGCGCTCAATGCGATGCCAGCCGTGTGCCAACGCTTTCGGTGTCCTGACATCATTTAACCTTGTTACGATAAAAACAAAATCGCCTCTCCCACACACAAAAAAGAGAAAAGGTATTGTGTTCCCTTTGTGATTGTTTTTGTAACCCACATTGGCTTTCTGAGTGGAACCTGTTCATGACAGGCACTCTTGCAGAGTTTTAACAATGCTGTGGTAATTGCTTGTGAATAAATGCTCAAGTTGAGTTTTGTACCTTCCTCCAATGCAGACACAGGGGTCAAATAAAGTGTCGAACACCAATACGCATCGCTGCTTAAGGTGCTGACACTGTCCCGTCTTTATTAGAAAATGATGAGTGTGAATCCAAACACTTGAAATAGTTTTCTTAGATCTGCAACAGTATGAACAACTATTTATAACACCACTACAGACATTCAGGATTTCCAGAACTTAAAGGACTACCGAATGTACTCTAGCCCTCTTTTCTTTCAAAAAGAGATGTGCGTTGATCTTTAAAACAAAATATATTGTTAACAGTTTATACAATACGGTCGCTTAAAACTTATTGAAAGTGTGTGTAAAAAAATCAACTAAGGGCTATTGTTCAAAGGTTCTGCATGATTGATAAAGTAACTGAATTTCCGATTGTACTGTCATGAAATGATTACAAAATAGGAAAAAAACTGGGAGCACAAATAGAATGAAAGGCACAGGAGAAGATAGGAGCTGGGAGTTTCTTGTCAATACGGTGGTATAGTGACGGTTCATCTGGGAGTAGTTTAGTGTTTACCATTTCATTTAAGAGCGATATGGAGTGAGTGCAAATGGAGTGCTACAAGACATTCGACATCTTTAAGTAAAAGAAACAAAACAAAATCACATTGAAGGTAAAATCAATGACAGTCTTGGTAAAAACCCTGAAGAGTACACCGAGGGTAACATTTTATAGCCAGTTGACATTGGAAAACACCAACACTTGGGATTGTTTCACGGTATTCCAAAGTGGAGACTGCAATATCAAATCGGTGATGAGGTCGTACTCTCGATCAAATTTCAACCAAATCAGGAATGGTAGTGTGGAGGTCTGATGGTTGACTGACAGGCGCCAATCAGGAAAGCCCAGGAAAGGAATCAATCTGAACTGTGTCCTGAATGGAAGATCCTCCACTTGAGTAAGATATCCGAATCCTCATTTTAAGGTTGACCTGGAGGGAATGGGTGAGATGACACTTGCCTGACATATTTCCTCCGTGGTTGAGCTTGAGAAAATCGACCATTAGAATAGGGAAAGCCGATGCCGCCGAGCCGGCCGTGTGTCTCACCTTGCTCGGATTGTCGAGAAGTACCAACTGGGTCACATGAGCTAAGCCTCCTGCAGGAAGAGTGTCTCCGCTGGGGGCCTTCATGTGCAAGTGGACACTCTGAAACCGTCAAATTCACACGTGGACACTAAACACGGGTTGATATCGCTCATGTCGTGTGGATGGAGCAAAACACTATTTGTCGAAGGTCGCCTTTGCTTTTCGGGTAACGGCCGAAAACCGCTTCCATATGCGCTTATTCCGTCAGTGTTTAAAGTTTTCCGCCAGTCTGCAAGCAAAACGGGAGTCGGGAACTAGTGTGAATGAATATTAAAGTCGTTTCGGGTTCTGAGAAAATTCGACGTGCGCAAGTGGTACGCAGACGCCAAACTAGCACACAGCTTTGCCGTGCAACTAATATAATTGTCCTCCTCGTACGCCAAATGAGGTTTTGCTACTTGGCGCGCTGAACTGTCTTCCTAGTGAAGACAAAGAATGAATCGAATGGTTTTCAAAGAAACGCTCAAATGGGTTTCGCAAAGCCACCAAATGTTTGCAACTCCATGAGGTTATAAACCACAGCTTCAAGCAACCGTTCGCCCATCATTTTGACAGGACTCAACTCTGGGTGAAATGAACAAAAATAGTATTACGTTCATTTCAATTAGCACTCTGACACATCACAATTGTCATATGTGATCGCAAATCTGATGAAAAGGCAACAAACCTTTGGCACAGCTGCTTGGAGAGCAAAGCTCGTGACGTCCGAGTCAGAGGAGTTGCAGCCTTTCAGGGTTACCGTCACGCCGGAGTCGGAGTGTTTCTCACAGCCGAGTGTCAAAGTGACACCGTTTTTCTCATACACTGTCACTGCAGGTGCTGTCAAGCAAAAGCAAAAACATGACACCTTGGGCCACATACATTGCGACTATTTGCGCACAATTTTAATTTTGCGCCTCATCAAAACACATTGAATGGCAAAATTGAGACTCAACCATCCAGACGCTTCCAAAAAGCACCTCATCATCAACTACGGGGCCATTATATGAATAGCCTGCTTTCTGAATACTGTCCAGTTGCCTTTAAAATTCCAACACACCCAGGCAGGATTCAACTCATGTTTTAAGAATTATTTTCTTCCTTTGTTGGTGTCGGAGACCTGGAAAGCCCGAGCGTGTGTTGGACTCAAACCTGGCGCCAGGGGGGTGGGCTCAAAGCCTCCCAACAGATCCAAAAGGTCCTCTCCAGCAGGCTTGGCTGTGTTTGTGGACTGGACGGTTACGGTGCCGCCCTGAGCTGGACCGGCCCGAACGGATTCCTCGGAGTCCCCGAGCAGGTCCAAAAGATCACATACCTTCAGAAAAGACAAAGACGAGAACAGAAAAACTCCATGTGCACGTTCACAAGAATATAAAATATGACGCGAGACGGAACTCTGTTTGTTTTACAGATATGTACATGAAAACAGGCTGATACAAAACAAAGGCAGCCATGTTGCCAAACGAAATACACAAGTTCTAATTACCAAGTGATCTCAAACAAGGCAGAACATGACATACCAACTGGTTAGCTTAGTTACATTGACATTGGTTTTCAGGAGGGATGCTTTCCGTAATTAAACGCCATTCACGTTGTTTTGCTAAATAAGCACAAACTCGCAGCGCGGACAGACAACTCGCACTTCTCCGGTGCGCTCAAAATCTTCAGAATGAGAAGTGTATTGGTATCACGTTCTCTGAAAGCGTCCGAATGTCACCTGGGTAGCTGGCGGTTGTGGCAGCGGGGGCTCTCTCCGCTTCACCTTGTCCACCTCCGCCTCTTTGATGACGTCCCCCATCGAGTCCCCATTGCGATGGCCCGGAGAGTTCCTCTCAATCACAGGCATTCTCTCCAGCACTGCTGCCCTGTGGAAAATCTCAGTGAAAGTTTCAACACTTCAAGGAGAACTCCACTGCCCCCCCACCAACATTAAAATCCTCACAAACCTCATGTGGTCATATTTTTTGAAGAGCGCATTGTATTCCACTGCCCTCTGCTGGAGCTCCACATCGATACAGCTGCCGTAAATGCTTACAATGCTTCTTATTCGACTAAAAACAAACAAACAAACAAAAAACTAACTAACTAAAACCATTTGAAATGGAGTTACAGCGTTCATTAGGGTTTTCTCAATTTGAATGGAAATATTTAAATCTGTAATATGACTCAATTACACTATCAGTGAAACTAAGTGATTTAAAAAAACACACAGTTGTGTTCACGTTGTTGGGACAGCATGGAATAATTAAAAGTGTGTCTTACTCGACATTGTCATCGATACGGGTGCTCAGTTTCATGGTGGCGGTGAGAGCAAAGCCCCTTGTCGTCGGGGTGGACATGTGAGACTGGAGAACTGTTTCCAAGGCATCCAGTACGCTGTCTGCAGTCACCTAATTGCAATAATTCAAAGTGAATTTTTTAAAATAATGTTTTCCAATTAAAAAAAAAAAAAGACATGAAAAATAAAACCATGTGCTCCAGTGACCTCAATGGGCTCCATCTCCTGACACTCTCCTCTGAGTAGCAGGTCCCCATATTCTCCAACGCACCAGCAGGCCACCTGAACCAGCGGTTGCTGCAGACATCCATAAAAACGTAGACACACGATCGTGGTTCAACAAAAGGTGCAAGATGTCTGTATGCAATATACAGATGGTGGCCAATAACCAATGACTGTAACCAATCACTGGTCGCTTGATGACTAGGAATTCAAAAAAAAAAAAAAGACTGCAGAAGCACTCACCTGAGAGATGTCAGTGAGCAGCGCTCGGTAAAGCTTGTGGACGGTGTAACAGTGAAGCTCAGAAGCGTTGGTGATAAGCAGGATCAGGTTGGGGACGGTTTCGTCTCTGACATCACCTCCGGCCTGGCAGTTCAGGAGCGCGTAACAAACAGGAGCGCATCAATGCACGCTTTCAGACACGTGAATTAAACTTGCTCTACATTTGACTCTCCAGCGCACAAAAAATAAATAAAAAAATAAGACCTGCGCTGCAACCACACGTGTGACGTCGTGTCAGTATTTACCGTGGTGAGGACATGCAGGATGGTGTCAATGTGCCAGCGCTGGGAGGGTGCGTACCTGACACAGACACAAACAATGGTGCTTTAGAGCAGGTCCGAAACACACTGAGGAATACGTCTGTGTCTTCATAGCCGTGGACACACACACACACACACACACACACACGCACACACACACGCAGAAGTGAGAGAGTGATAGCATGCCGAGATTGTCAAACCGCCAGTGACGCATACCATGCAGTCGTGTCTTTTGAGATTAGAAAATATCACATGGTGAGGCGTGTGCCACACAATGGGAGTAAAGCAATCCCTGCTTGGCGTGAAGAGAGCGCTCATGAATCACATGCCTTGGTGAGTATCTGGATGCCTGCTTAAATAGCACGAGCATGTAACACATGCGTAATTCTCTCACCTCTCTGCGGCGTGGAATATACCGCTGGTAGCTTCAGCTCTGAGTTCAGGCGGGCAGCAGGAGAGGAACACAAGCAGCTCTTTCATCATGGAGCGGATGTTGCTGGCGGACACCAACGCTAAGGAGAGGTCTAACGCACGGCTGAACAAATGGAACAGTTTTGCACATGAGCCCACGTTTGAATCCGGTTCTTTTCAAGAGAAAAAGAAACAGATGTGCGGGTGGAAAGTGACCGTTTGACGGAAGCGTCCGGGTCTTTCAAGCAGTCCACGATGGTTCCTCTGTGACGCTGCACAGCAATGTGATCTGTCCCAACAATTTTTTGGAGGGAGGTCATGGCAATGTATCTGGACAAACACAAAACAACAAAATTAAGATGAAAAATCACATTTGGGCCTATTTTTGCTGAATGCCACAGAATTGAGGAAATAGATATAAAGTCAATGACGCCATTAAACAGAAAATAAT